TATTAGTTGTGGATCCAATAAAGAATCCTCGGATCTGCTATGTTCCACATAATGGAGCATAATCTTGGATTTATTTTTATAATTGATTACAATTTTTATAATTGACTAATAGAATTGTAGTAATAGAGTTGAACATATTGTAGTAGTGTTAAGATTGGTTTAAATTAGTAATATCACTGAGGATGACCAGAGTAAGGGTCGAAACGTCGTATGATTAGGTTTTCAATGATATATAATCTGTAAATAATACCTTTACATTGATATTAATACTCGCAATTTAATAACTGGCGTAAGGCTCTAATAGCCCACTCATCATTAAAATTTCTGTATCAAATGCTTTGTATGTAAGTATTTTTGTCTGTATACCTATATATATGTGTGTGCGCGCGTGTGCGTGTGTGTGTACACACACAAAAAAAATATATATATGTATAAATATGATATTTTATTTTCAAATGTTATGATATATATTTTATTGCAGAAATATAGACAGAGGACCTGCAAGTCAAATAACACAGGAAAAAAACAGGTAATAGAAAATATTTTCTATTTTTAATAAGAAAATTAATGTAACAAAATTGTATATTTTCAGCAATATGGAATCTGCAGAGACACAGCAGAAGCATCTGGAGAAACATATTGAAATCGAAACCTGTTACGTCTTGAGCGCGAGATTTCGGCGGTCTCGAGACGCGACACGAGTTCGCGGGAACGCGAGCGCGGAGCGGGGCGCGCGGGGTGAAGCCTTGACTTCAATGTGGTGTTTAGACGCGTGTCTTTATTATTATTACGGGCAGCTGTCACCAGTGCTCGGAATTGAGCACGATATTCGAGAATTATATATGTGATTTCACGAATTTACTAGATTTTAAAGGTAATTAGCCTTCCAGGTCCTTTCTCATAAAAATAAAATAGAGAGTTTAGAGGAAGCGTCAGTTAGGCTTCATCTCGCTGTCTCTCTATCTACACTCTCTTGTGTGATGAGAAGGATTTGGAAGGAAATGAAAAGGCTTTTAATAAGAACAGAATGTTTAAGATTGTATGATTTTAATGTTTAATGTACAAGGCGTGATAGCTACCACGCGAGGCTTATTTGTTATTATCGCGGGCCTCGTAGGCTTGCGCACGGGCGCGATGTGCGGTGGCGATCTCAGAGGCCTTGGTTGTGGCCTCGGCGCAGGCTTTGCGGCTTTAAGCCTCCGGAGCGAGGGAAGCGTCCGGTTTCTTCGCGATCTCGCACGTGCGAGGGGGTGCGTCGGTATTCGCTTCCGTCCCTTTTCCGGTCTCCGTTTCCCAGTACTGGGCAGGGTCGAACGCCCCCTCTTTGAGCAGCTCTCGCTGGAGCTCCTTCAGGTGGGTCCGCCACCCTCCTCGTTTGCCGCGTCCACGTTTTTTTTTAGGCATCTGCTTCAGAAAGAACGTTTTGTAATGGCGGCAGATCGGAAAGAAAAGAATGCGAAAAGACCTCGACGCCGAGAAGGCGCTCGTTAGAGTTTTCGCTAGGAGGTGATCTCCACGTCGCCGTGGTTTGCGCTGTAGAGATCAGGCAAAGGATTAGCTCGTCTGACGCCGTGGTTGGCGCACGATCGGAGCTGGAAT